TTAATTGTAATATATATTAAAACAATACAACTAGCGAGTAGATATTTTTTGGACATTTTCATCATATTCGTATGTAATAAATTAAATCACGTCTAAGTTAATTCAGATTTGCTTCAAGCCTGGGACTTTTCAACTATTTGGTAATTCCTTATATTTAGGCCCAAAACTCGTCATAAAGCAATGACTGTCTTAAATAAATTAATAAAAGAAAAACCTCTCGCCCAAATAAATTCACATGAACTCATTAAAAGACATTCATTTGTTTTTAATAAAATTCCTGTTCTGTGAGCAATAAAAAAGAATTCGTCATTGATCACGATACTGAAAACTTAAATATATTAAAAAAATAAATAATCGTAATTAAACTAAATTTATTATAGTAACTATTACTATTAGTAACTATTAGTATATTATTATAGTAACTAATTACAAAAACATTTACTCCTCCCTACTTTTTGCCATTGCCCTCGAGAGTGGAGTTGCAACCTAATCCAAAAATATAAATGACCTCATGTTGAAGTGGTTGAACCCTGGATTACCCGTAAATTTATTTTAAACTTTGCATATAAAGTTTGTTTGTTTTCTTACATCGTTTTGAATTGTGAGACAATAAAGGCAAGCGCATCTTATTACTTTCAGCATCCAGATTAATACTTTTCGAGTGAAAATTGAAAAGTACATAATCTACTATTATTTTGTCGTTGTCTAGACATAGATATAGACTAATTTATTGACTTTTTTTTATAAAATTTATTTTGACAAGCAACAAACAGCACAAAAAAAATCAAAAATAAATGACATGAACATAAAAAAATGATAAATAAAAACAAAAAAAAGAAGTTTAATTATTTAGTCCCTACATATAGCTCAATGGTTTGGATAACCAACTGCCATTGTGCGCTGTGTTATGGATTCGAATTGCACACGCGACAGAAATGTATGTAGGTAATCAATTTTATTTCATGCGAGCAGGCATGTTGTTAATGTAAACCTAAAAGCATAAAACTTCACGCCGGCCCTCTGTGAGGCTATGGTACCTCCCCGACTTCACTTAACGTCATGTGAACAGCCCGCTCGCTTAACCACGTATCACATAAAAAAACGATATTTACATCATACGGAGCCCAATTTTCAAAAGGCTGTCAACGCATCTGCAACCCTCGGGTGTAGCGGATGTCCATGGGCGGCGGTATTCACTTAACATCAGGTGAACCGCCTGCTCGCTTGGCAACTTTTCACATAAAAGAAACGATATCATCACCACTTGACAAACCTTTACAAACTTATTTTCAAACACTAACACGTGAACGATGCACATTTTTCATGAAACGGAAAAGAGGCGTCTCTTCATTTTTGATTTAGTACATATCGCCGTTCCTTGCAGAGAAATATTGGACCGTTTACAGCTCTACTGATCTCGATAGATAGTTGAGCGGCCCCGTATTTCCTTCATCCAATTTGTTTTATTACCATTCTTATATCATCTGTGGTTCATTTCACGTAAAGCCAGACAATATTCGGTAAAGTAATATTGTTTTATGATTTGTTTCGTTCTTATTTCTCGTATTCTAAAGATTGGATTTTCGAATGAGAATGATTTGATATTATATTTAACGTTGAATGTTTTCTTACAACCAATTTTCATGTGATCCCTGTTATCTTTTTTACGATCTCATGCTTGTCTTTAGAGTTTGTACTCACATACAATAGGGCTATAATTTAAATTGATATTATTATGCCAATTTTTACTTTCGATTTTCACTGTTATTTATATCAAATGTCTATTTTCATATTTTTATTAGATTTTAGTATAGGTTATGGCATACGGTTTCTTTTGAATTAGATTTTAACATTATTTTACATTCTTCTTTCTGAAACAAAGCCGTGTCCGGGCACTCACTTTTCATTCTGTATACTCGAACAAGGAACAAACAAGGAAATTGTTATTTATAATTTTAAGTGGCGACTTATCACGTGCTCGGCGGTGAAGGAAAAACCTCGTGAGGAAACCTGCACATTTTCGAAATGAAAACAAAAACATATTCCAAAAATATGTGAAGTCACGCAGTGGGGTGGACAATTCTTTAACACCCTCTGTATAGATGAGGCCTTTGCCCAGCATTGGAAATTGCATGGGCTGTTAACTTAACTTACTTTTTTTTAACTTTTCTGAATATTATGCCTTATATTTTTTTCTTCCACCTTCATACATGCGCATGCTGATTCTTCTGATCTTGATCAATTTTTCCTATATTTCCTTTTCTAGTGGTGATGCACGTATGTTTTTAGCTTAACCAAATAGAATGGTAATAATTCGTCAACGTTAAATGCTATGCTTATTTAACGCACAGCGAAGAAATTTTTTGTCCATTTATGTGGAAAAAAAAAAATCACATTTAAAGTTCTATCAGGGGTTCAGAGACTAACACTAAAAATTAAAAAAATTAAAAATTAATTTAGTAAAGTATTCTTCATTCATAAGGTACTGTTCACCAATCGGTGATACAGTCATCATCCTTGATACAGATTTCGATACTACTATCCAAAATATATCCTCTCAAGTCAAAGTCGACAGTTTTATTCTTGATGTCAGCTCAATACGCGGTTTAAAGCAATTTTATGGAAGCTCTTCACACAAACGCACTGGTTTATGTCGTAACTGAAGTTAGCGCTTTCAGTTCGTAGTATATTTAAGCTTCATCGAACGCACTCTGAAGTGAACGCGTCATTTCGTTAAAGTAGGAATCCATTTACCCTACCACGTCTATATTTCCATTCCAACTGGTACAGTTGGGGAAACATAAGAGCTTATTTAATCTTGAAATAAATTTACTTACCGAGCAGGTAATTTAAAATATTGGACAAATCTAACGAAAACAATTGTTAAGTTAATACTAGCCGCACACACATATGCGCAATAAAACAATGAATTTAAAACAAATGATTTATTACAATTTTTTTTTTAATTTTTGGTAAATGCAAAAAAAAATTCCCAGACAAACAACCAAAGTAGACTGCGCTCCATTATGATGGCATCGATGTTTTATATTTTAGTTTAATTAACTTATAAGTAGAAGCGGAATAATTATTAATGTAATTATGACAAATAAATAACTAAAATTAAAATGTAACAACAGCGCGTATCACGCTTACCTAAGTATTTGTTCAAAGAATTTATTTCATGCGTCGAAACGAATAATACGATTTGTATATTGTTTATTTCACTCACTTTAACAGATAATAAGGAATTTATGCCGTATATATGTTTTAAAATTTTGTCACTATCACTTATAAATATTAAGTACTGTTTCTATTTAGAATTTTCTATTTTAACCGAATCAGAACTGCTGACGATTTTGAATTCTTTGAATAAATACACCACTAATTTTATGAAAACAAAGATCCTAATATTTACATTAAACATTATTAGTAACTGGCAGTTATTAGAAGGCACATTTTCATTACATTGACTTTCTTTATATTAACTACAAAGTGATTTTTATTACGTTATCTAAACTATTACGAGATATTGATATCGCGTCAAATTCCTTATATTTTATTGCCTTTTAATCCTTTATGTATGTAATATGTTGCTGTTTGCAACAATTCAAAATATGGCTAATACGTGTACATATAAAAATATTGCGTGATCGTATTAATTGATATGTATTATTAACAGCATAAATATAAATAATCGCTTGAATTTTTAACAGCAAAATAACTGAAAAATATATATATTTAATATGTACAATATGTTTCTCTTAAATATGCTTAAGCATTAATGTTATATGGACTTAGCTTTCGATATGGATTCATTAATTGACGTTAAAATTGACGCTAAAAGGAATTCTTTCATCTGAAACTTTTAGATCGTTAACTTAGTCATATAATGATAATTACTAAGTGTTTAAAAAGTGGGTTTCGATATTACGAAGTACACACTGTTTCATAATATCTTCGTACCTTAGTGTATCGTTTGTTTGGACCAGACCTGGTTGTTCCGAAACTAGAAAGTTCGAAAGTTGCCATTTGGTTTAAATACACCTATTTAATATAACTACAGATCACATTTCTCAAAAACAACGCTAATCCGGCCATAAACCTCATTCATTACCATATGCTTTATATTTTTTAATTATTTTTTTTTTTTCATTCTGTGCACTACAATGAACTATCATTGTAAATATTATAATGCATATATATTCTATGTTTACGTGACTAGTAAATAATTTACATTACAATAGTGTTATGATAGTGGGAATCCATGGGCGGCTTGGAACGTTTTTACGAAAAAAATGTCTAAACCTTACAGGGACCTAAATCGATTTTTACAATATCTCATGAGGCGATAAAAATGTCACTACTTAAGTTTATTTACAAATGGCAAAGTGCTCACGCCAAGCACATTTTTGCAATTTGATTAAATAAGATGTATGTATAATATATATTTCCACTCACCCCTTCATAAATGTATATAAATAGGCAGAGAGACGAATGTAAAGAAGCTCTTACTATGTGATGAAAATATACTAAAACTGTGCTGCTTATTTTGTTTAGTACATGAAACATTCGACACTTCACCTAAGTATACAGAATTGCTACTAGCCGCCACTTGTATGACGTCATCAACATGGCTCCTAATCGACCTAAAAATTGCTCATGATTTATATAACCGCATGATAACAGAACTAAAAAATCTAAGCCACTTTAACTTTACTGACACGCGATCCTAGATAATGTAACAATTTGTTCATCACTAAAGTCCAACACGGTTTAACAAACGCGTTAAAATTTGAAGACGACTACGCGTTCCTCTCTAGCGTGACGTCAGTACCGGTCGCTGGAGGAGTCGCGGCTGGTGACGTCACTGGCGGCGTCCGTCGACGAGCTGGTGTCGCTGCTGTCGGCCGTGTCGACGGTGTCGCCAGTGTCGACGTGTCGGCGGTGTCGGCGGTGTCGAGCGTGTCGCTGGCAACGCCGAGGTCTGTCGTCGGATATCAAAGATGCTCGTCGCGCCCGTTCAGCGGCTGCCGCTCGGCGTGGTCGGAGGGCCGGTTGCGCTTGAAGAAGCCGCACTGCCGGCGCAAAAGATCACGGAGTCATCATCAATAGTAACGCAATAGGAACAACTTGATGTGAAGGGTTCGCTGAATCAAATCCTTCCAAGACTTTTTTATCTGAGAACATGGCATGCGAGCTTGCGGGTCAGCCGATGATATGTGATAACAACCGCCCATGAACATTTGCAACACCTGCAGACGCGTTGTCGAATAAAGTGGGCACCGGCTACTGAGCTGAGCTTCTGTTCAGAAGTAACGCGGAAGGTACTGTGAGGTCGTGGTACTTATCTGGGCCTGTCCATTCGTGCTACAGCTGATGCTGTTGCGTGGCCCTACCATAGTTGAACAAATGCAATGCAATAACTGTTCCTGCAATCTACTGACTAGCCAAGACAAGTCTGACAGCAGAACTACCAGAGCCTTACCTTGTAGAGCGCAAAGATGAGCAGTAGAAGAAGCAGCGCCCCCACCACCGCGGCCAGGATGATGACCCAGAGCGGTATGGAGCCGCTGTCGAGCGCCTGCAGCTGGGGGGCGAGGGAGGTGCGCGCCTCGGCCGTGCGCCAGCCCTCCCCCCGCGCCGCCCCCGCCCCCGCCCCCGCCACCCCCAGGCGCGAGACGCGCGCCGCCGCCAGCGTCGACAGCACCACGGCACGCTCCTGCGATATCTACGCACCAAAATTTGCCTATTGTATTTGGATTTTGGGTGGAATGGGTTGGGTAGTAAGTCTCGATGCTAGAATGATGGAAAAGATTTCCACCTTACTGTAGGATATCATTCATTATCCCAGTGTTGTAAGTTATCTGTGGTTCACATAAATAGGCGCCACGTGTAGGAATCAAATCCCTGCACCGAGACCGTATTGGCTATTAACGGTCATAACGATTCCCTCACCGCCTTGCATCAGCTCGACTGCTGCTGCCAGTCCCTTCGTGTCCCCGTTTAGTCGCCTTTTACGACAGGCAGGGGAAACCCCTGTTCTATTCTATGAGCCCGAGAGTACCACTGTACTGTCTTAATGTACTTCAATCAATAAAAAAAAAACAAATAGATTTACTGCCTTAAAATTGGATCTATTAGAACCTATTAAAAAACTTTATAGTTACCTCGTTCAAAACGGAAGCGTTAATTCTTGATCTCAAAGCAACCCACACCTCCTGCCCCTTGGTCAGTCTGCCCGTCCTACATCGGACCACTTCGCACTTGTACTTTTCTTCGCACTTTTGCAATATTTCCTTTAGTTGTAAATCAACCTGGAAAATTCAACATTAAATGTTCTTTATCGAGCAATATTGTAACTTATACGATAGAAACTACTATTATTATATATAGATAGGTAGGTACTAATAATATAATAATATAAAAAGGAACGGGCATGAACTTTATTTTTTTACTTCTTCCAAATTTTTAAAAAGATAACTTTTGTTACGAATGAAATTGGATTTACCTGATCTTGACGTCGGCGCCTCGTACTCTCATGGCGTTGTTCTGATGAAGAACCAAAGCTGCCGCCACTTTGCGAGCTGTAACTTCTTTGACCACCTGGATTTTAGTAAAGATTAATTATTGTATGACACAAATAATAACAAATAGTTTGGCCAAAAGTGCTTCAATATTTTTCTCAGCTAAGTTTTCAAAGTACGCTTTTATATCCCAATTCACAATATCGCCAAGTACCTATTCAAAATATATATATCGTTAATATTTACCAGATCTTGATGAGTATGAATAACTGCTGCCGCCGCCGCTCTCAAAAGCGCCTCCGCTCCGGTAACTTCCTCCCTGGAAACCAGCTGCTCCCCCCTGTTGGGCATTTTGTCCGCCGTAGCTGGACTGATAGCCACCGCTGTTCGAAAAACCTTGGGCGCCGCCTGACGATCTTTGTCCGCCCTGGCTTCCAGAGACATCGGCGATGCCGAATTTAAACTCGTTGTTGGGATTCCTCGCTGCATAGGCGCCGAAGCCGCCTATTTCGTCCTCGTCCTCGTCTCCGACGACGGTGACGCTGGACTCGCCTCTGAATCTGCTGGAGCCGGCCTTCATGATGTCGGAGTTGACCGTCTCGGTGGTCGCCCATGAGCCGTGGACGAACGCCTGCCCGGAACCTCGGTCCTGGCTGCCCGCTTGACTGTTCACGTAACTGAAAGACAACGTACGTCTATATTATATGAAGCTTATCATAACATATATCTTTCTGGTGCCTGGAATACGACTTTACCGTGAAGCAGAAAACAAATCTTATATCAATTAAAGTGATGCTTAACATGGGAATTCACTCACGTATTAAAAGAACTGCCAGCTTCCCCTTCATGGCCCAAGGATCCGTATTCTGTACTAGTTTCCGTCTGAGAAATTACGTTATGGTTTTCATCGTAGAGGATGGTCTTGTTCCTAACTCTGACAACCTGGCCGCCTTGTCCGTATGCTCCAGCGTTTTCCACCGCACCATGGCCTCCTTGAACGAAACCGTGGGTTCCATACCCGCTTTGTTGTCTTCCCTCTAAACTCCCACCTTGATTTTGGATATAACCTCCTTGAGACCGACTTCCTTGAACATAAGTTCCTTGACCACCCTGTATATTTACTTGGCCACCTTGTATGTGTTCTTGGCCCCCTTGTCCATATGTACTTTGACTATTCTGGGTTTGACCCTGAACGTTCCCATTTTGGTTGTAACTGCCTTGGGAGAACTTTCTCTCTACCGATCCTTGGTAATGTGGGTCTCTAGCAGCAGCCAATAAGGCTTTGCGGATCTGCTCCTGCTGTTCAGCTGTGAGGTCCTCTCCGAAGCTATCGCTACTATTCCACGTCTTATTGTAAACGTAAGTGCCCCCATTAACACCGCCCCTCCCTACGGCACCGTTGTTTAGTTGCCTGCCACCGCCTCGACTTGTCACGAACTGACTGCCAGAAGATTGTCCGCCTCCGTACTGGCTGGTGGAAACATGCCCAGTGCCGTATTGAGAATCATAAACCTGACCGCCCCCGTATTGACTGTTAGAAACACGGCCGGCGCCTGTTTGGCCGTTGGAAACTTGTCCTCCGCTAAACTGGTTACCTGATACTTGTCCGCCTTGAGAGTACATATTTCCGTTGATAAAGGTCTGCTCCCAGGACTCTGCAAAGTAGTATGCATGTTAGATTTTTACTTAAAAAGTTTCCCAATCACAATAATTAGTGTACTCACGTTGTCCATAGTATCCACTGCCACGAGAAAGTTGTTCAGCGGTATACATGCCGCTGCTAAACATTTCTGAAACAATATTATTTGATTAACACAAACATGTTATATTATTTGATGAAAATGACTATCGTAATAATAAGACGGCTGAACTCACGTAAACTCACTCACCCTGGTGAATTACCTTCGACGAGTCCGAAACTAGTCGGTACATACACCGGGTTTACGTGAGTTCAGCCGTCTTATTATTACGTTAGTAATGTCTCACGACAGTTTTAATAATTTTATTGAAAATGATTACTTTTACAGCTATATATATTATGTCTCTCACAGTAGTAAATAATTGCAGGTTCCATAAACCAACGCGACGACAGACACAAAGTATGTCCAGGCTCATAATAACTGTTTCTCACCCGGTTTCGATTCATGTATAATTATAAAAAATAAAATTAACAGTGGTAGGGCCACGTAGCAGCTTCGGCTGTTGCACGAATGGGCAGGCCCGTCCGGGTAAGTACCACGACCTCGCAGAAGACCAGCGTAAAGTGGAAGTATGGCAAATACTTTCGCGTTTCGTATGGTGAGTGAGGTAGCCGGAGCCCAATTTTCAAAAGGTTTTCAACGCATCTGTAACCCTCGGTTGTAGCAGATGTCCATGGGCGGCGGTATTAATTAACATCAGGTGAACCGTCTGCGCGTTTGGCAACTTTTCACATAAAAAAAAATCAAATAAAAGGGAAATGGAAATATGGTAGGGCCGCGCAGCAGTCTTCTTTGCTGTTGCACGAATGTGCAGGTCCGTTCGGGGAAGTACCACGACCCCACGGAAGACCGGCGTGAAGTTGAAGTATTATACTTCTGCGTTTCGTATGAGCGAGGTAGACGGGACCCTTTTTTTGAAAGGTGGCAACGCATCTGCAACCTTGCGGGTGTCGAGAATGACAATGAGCGGCGGTTATCACTTAACATCAGGTGAACCGCTCGCCTGCCACCTCCTCACATAAAAAGAAAGTAATCGTCACAGAGGAAAGAAGCTAGGGACTATTTTCTTATTTCAGAAAGTCCTACAGGTTTAAAACTAACGAACTAGCGTTATTCACAATCTTCACTTACCCTCCTTCTCTTTGGCCAGCATGAAGCTGTATTCGTTCGGTATGAACAACTTGTCGGGGTTGACGTGGCGTGCGACGTCGCAGACCATGTCGCCCACCCACTGCGGCTGGACCACCATGTACATCAGGTTCTCTCCTGGAACGAAACAAAATTGCAATGTGAGTTTAATAGATAAATTGATGAAACACTTTGAGGAGATCGAGGATATCGGCCCCTCAGCTTATTGGCTAAAGCGTCTATACTCTTCACCTAGAAGACGCAGGTTCTAAGCCTGATTGCGGCGAATTTTTCGACAATTCAGCCATTGAACTCACATTTAAATTTCTTCTAGAGTTCAGATAGTTCAGATGGTCATGACAAATAAAAATAATAAACAAAATCTCATTACAAGAGTCCATCAAAAAATCTCGATGCTCCGTTAACAATTCAATCAAATGATTGCCAAAGCATTAATTACAACTTTCATATAATTGAAAAAAATGTTCTCTCTCAATTTTTATTCTATACCCGATTAAACTTCTCACGTTTGTGCTTAATAATGAGTGTGTATAAAAAAGGAAACCAGGCACACCGCTTGCTTGTAGTCATAATAATTGGTTATTTTGTCTTCTACTTAAAATATCAATTTAAAGTCTATAATCGAACTAATACTAAATGAAATATTACCAGTAAGTGTTTGATAAGGCCACATTATGTAGATCTCAGCCTCGTCCACTGCAAATGGGCCTTCGTTCTTGATGTTGTACTTGTGTATAATCTGTGGCCCGAGACCCGAATCGTTTTTGAGGTTCTGTGTCTCGTACAGAGACGCGTTGTAATGGATCTCCGGTGGGTCAGACGTTCTGGAAAATTCATCAAATCATTTATATCATTTATACTTTAAGTAAAGGAGCACACAATTATTATTCGCTTTAATTAAATTCCTATGATGGATGAATTCTAAATATTTTTATGACGTCAAAATATTGCCTTACTTCTTCAAATACCTTTATAATTTAATTAGGGTAGATGTCCCAAAAGGTTGAAGAATTAATAACAAATTTGATAGCTCAGTAACAGTTGCTTTGGAATAATCTGTTTATTAATACGAAATTGTCAATCAGTTTTATATTACAATTAATAACTAACCCGATAATGGAGAGTTCGGCCTTGATAATAACACCTATTGATAAATGCATTTTGTTATCCTTGATGGACGACTGAGGCTCTGGGTTTGTCGAGTTAACCTCCATATCGAATATCAAATTGGTAACTTGGGAGTCCACCTCCAAAACCACGCGGAAATTCACCTGCAAAAATTAAATTACCCTTTATAACTGTTTAATAATAATGTTAATCCTGACATGTCTATAATTATGTCACTGTGTATGATTTATGTATCCGCAAATATAGAAAATAAATGTCGGTCATTTAATTAGTTATCAAAAGCCGTGATGGCTCAGTGGGCGTTCGCTGTTAATTCAATATGCTCAAGCAACCTAAGTTGTAAACCCGGTGCAGGCACTAACAACATCAACATTTTGAGCAAACCTGCATATTTTCGAAGTAATAAAAAAATTCGAAGGTATGTGAAATCCGCCAATACGCAGTAGGGTCGCGTGGTGGGCTAAGCCCCTTACACCCTCAGTATAGAGGAGGTATATGCCCAGCAGTGTGACATATCAACCTTTACCTATATCCAAGCGTTTCAAAATCCATTAGTAACCAATCCACAACAAGGGATACATAAATTACTATTGTAATGAACCCAATTGTAATGAGCCCAACTCCCATGGATCCTCTAGCAGATACAATGTCAGAGCTTTATTTTCCTGCTAAATTACAGCTTTTGGGGCACTTTTTAGGTAACTTTAGTATGCGTACCTTCTGGTCACTGGCCATGGGGTTCCCCAAATCGCATTTGAGCGTGCTGTTCCCCCCGCTGCCTTTATTCTTGACGGAGCAGTAGATGGGCGGTGCGTCCGTATTGTCCCTGTCCAGCCGCTCCATCTTGGTGTAGTTGACGCCGGCCGGGATCTGGAGGAAGTACGCCGCCTCGTACGCGTCCTCCGCGTAGTTGTGGATCTTCACGTCGATGTTCAAGTTCTCACCGGAGCCTAGCACGTAATTCGACGTTGGCCTGAGGACAACATTATTGGAATAAAAACTTATGCAGAAAATGTATTTGCATTGATTTATATTAAAGTAACAGTTTTTTTTTTCTGTCGACATACAGGATGAATGCTGACTCGCTCTTTTGTCTGATCAAACTGTAAGAACTCCAGAAAATACTTTTCGGAAAATGTAATCAAATGGATTTATATGAAATCAAGTGCGTTATTGTTATTATTCAATTATAATTAAGTCTTTTTTTATTTAATTTATTTAACAATGTAAAAGTAAATTAAATTTTAGCGCTACTTACGTAGTGACGGCCATACTCAAGTCGGGTATGCAGACGTTGTCTGGGCCGCAATTCTTCTGTATGTTGAGGGAGTCCGTGTGCACGATGCTCTTGGTCTGGTCGAGCACGGGTGGCACCACGTCTCCAGACGGCTGGGTGATAAGCTCGTAGCTCATTTTGACCTCGATCGGGCTTAGCTTGTCACGGATCTCCTCCTAAATTTCAAGGCGAATCGAAATTACTTTGTGATAAACATGTAAAATGATGCGTCAAATTGTGCATCCTATAAAATTGTTTTTCTATTGTCAACTTTGTGTATCCTTTCATTGGTAGTGGACAATAAAAGTATTCATTCATTCATTCATAAATTTTACCTACCAAAAATATTTACAATATTAAATACTACCTAACTTACATATTATTTATCAAACCTAGCCTTAACCAAGGTTTCAAGGGTTCTTTTATGGTGCCAAGAACGCTAGCTGCATTTCCTCGCTTAATAGTTTTTATCTAACCTTTGAGCGAGAAAAGAAGGCCCTTTGTGATCACATTTCAATCGGAGACAATTGATCATTCGAAATACAATGTTGATAGAGTAAATAGGACAGGGAATGACAATACGGGTGTTCACAAATTTTAAACCATAATGAGGTAATTTTGGAGCCTGTCACTCTAAAACGAATACAAAAGTGAGACCGTAACATTTGCCACAGATCTATAGAAATCCCTATGTTTGAAATACACGAAAAACTAAAAGCTGGAATACTTAAAGCTGTTTCTAATTTAAGACGTAGCAAGTGTTAAAGCAAACAATCAGATATTTGAAATAATCGAAGTACTCACATCGAGATAAACAACCATCTCCCGGCACTCCTCCTGTCCCTGGGTCAGCAGTATATGCGTCTTGTAGACTGTCTGTCTAGTGTCGAACACGAACATGCGCTTGCTGGCCTTCTGGCGGGAGTCCAATTCGATGGTCACTTCGAAATCTGAACACAGAACGGAACAACTCTTTAGACCAGGAAATATCCTTGATGAAGAAACACTAAGCTAGGCTAGCTAGGCCGCTACATGTACACGCTTAGAGTGTTATAGTATTTTTTTCTATTTGTGTTAACATCATATTTACAGTAATCGGTGATTAGTATTGCACATCGGCCTTTGAAAAGAGACAATCAGCTAAGTTCGCTTTCGTAGAGCGTTATCTCTGTCACATACTCCGTCTCTGCGTTAGTGCTTCTTGAGACAGATAACGAAATCTAGAAGTTTTATGAACAATTTATTTCACACGTGATCAATACCCGTTTCGATTGGTTATCGATGTATTTGACTCCTGTTAAATAGGTTTTCAATTAAATTAGATTTCTAAACATCCATGTGCCACTAATTAGTGGGTGGTGCGCAACATAAAAACTATATAATTTCATTATTATTCATCGAAGATTGCTAGAAAATAAAATAATACATGCTGTAATAAGTTATTGAGTGTTCTTGTAATATATTTATGGAGACCTAGCAGTTAAGAAATATTTAATTTTATAATAGGATTAGTATTAGGGAGATAAACTTATATGTACAAATTAGCCTTTTCTTTCTTCTATATATAATTTTATATCGGTGTATCGACATAATAATGAAATTATTGCACTAACAGCCATTAATTTTGAATTTCGAGCCAATCATTTCCTACTTCAACCACTCACCGAAGTAACAGATATATCCTTCCGCTTGGAACAGAAAAAGAACATTTCACGCTAGCACAATATAAATTATATAATTAGATATAATATAATAATATTTATAAACAATGTGATAATAATAAAATTCCAAGCTATCATGTGATTATATTGATTTCTTGTTTTTACGCGAATATTATAGATGGTTAAATAAAATTAACATACTGATTTTATCAGGTTTTAATTTGATTTGGAAATAGTTATTCTTGGTATGTCTCTTGACAATGAACGCTCGAAAGGTTTCGAAGCGTCGGGGATTTAACATTCGAATTAAAACGTGATAAAATCCGGACAATAGTTTTATTTAACCATGCATGATGTGATTACTTTATGAGGTTCCACATAGAGTAGATATTTGCTGCAAGATGAGAGCAGAACGATAGGGAAGACCCACCTATTTGCTGGTCGACATTAATTCCATTGTAAGACAGGCAATACATGAGGTGAGCGCAGGCGACCTCCGTGCCGTTGGTCAGGCGGCAGTTCTTCTCCGACATGGAGATCAGCTTAGAAGCCTCCGCGAACTTCACCGCCGCCATGACCTTCACCACTGGCCGGGATCTGGAACATTCTTTAGTCAGAAAACCGTTCTCGCCTTCCAAAACTAATGCGCTAATGTTATAAACGCGAAAGTTTGTATGTGTGTGTAGATCTTGCCTTCACGGCCTAACATTTACGAATTCCGATAAACTCTGAATGGTGCTACTTAATTTACTTTGTTAAAAGATAGCGACTCTAATAGTAACGCGATGTAGAGATAATTATTTTATTACAGATTAAAGTAATGCATTGTAAAAAGGGGAAGCATTTCAAATAATAATTTATATAGAAAAGCTAGAAAAGTAAATGGCAAAAGTAAACATGAAATGTCATTATCATTTTAAAATGATATCATTAAATCCAATACAATAAATACATAATGAAGTGCAATATTAATTAAAAAAAGAGAACGTTTTCGTGAATATTATGGCCCAAAAAACGTAATTTTTCACTTTGCATTATTTTAAAACTAAATAGCCTTAAACACCTTGTTAATATTTATTTTCTTTTGAGCGCGTTGAATTATCCGGTGTTTAGCGGTAAAAGAAAAACCGCGAGGAACTGAATGGGTTGAGAGAAAATACAAAAATATTTTGAAAGATATCTGAAGTTGATACCGATCCTCATATCTTTACATAAAGAAGACCTTTACAGCTACAAGAGGTAAAATATAATTTTTATTTACTCTTTGTCTTTTCCGCTTGGCTGTCAGTTTTGGGGCTAAAGGAAGGTTACTTATACTCTTGCAGAGTTCTCGGTAGTCCAAGAGCCAGATCCCACGAGCTTGCTGAGGCCCTCGGCGCGATAAAAGCTTTATAGGATACAGGGCCCACAAAACAACATCGGGATTGCGGGCTCAGTGTACGGCCATGAGTAGCTTGCACGAATAAATTATTAGTACCCGGAGGACCGAGCTTTGCTCGGTTTGTTTTTTTTTTTTGGTGAATCGTGTGTTTTGGAAATTACATTTAGATACAAATTCCTGAGTAATGAAATATGCGTAACATTTTTCGATCTAACCGACGTAATAATAAGAAAATATGAACTGATGTTTTTCACAAAAGAAAGAACTTAAAAAAAAGGGAAAAAAATAACAAAATAACAAATCGACAAAAAATAAAAGATAAAGAAAGCAATGATCTGGAATCGAAAAAAACAGTAAAAAAATAAATGTGTAAATGATCGTGACGCGAACCACGGCCGTCTGTTTCGGGGCTGCCCGATTACCGACCGAGCTATTATGACATTTTCTCTTGCGGCGAAATTTACCGTCATATTCGAATTATATTTTTCATTCCCTGAAAACAGGGACAATAAAAGGACATTTTCTAAATAATCTAATTAATTAAACCTAGCTAGATCGATTTTTCGCCCCCGAATCTACGCACATACTAAATTTCATGAAAATCGCTGGAGCCGTTTCCGAGATTCCGATTATATTATATACATTATGATACAAGAATTGCTCGTTTAAAATATAAGAGATACTTTTGCGTTTTCACTGATCAGTGAAGTATCCAGTGCCCACAATTTTAAAAGGCGACAATGCATCTACAACCTACACCAGCCTTGCCTCCTCACATAGATACACAGCAAGTCGATTGAAAACGTTTAAAAGCGAATTTTTGCGCGGCAGTAATCGCTTCTTCATTTTCCAGCAAGATGCTAGCAGAAAAAGCGGTTATGAAAGGAACTCACTTGAGGAACACAACGCTGTCGGACTTGTAAGCGCCCACAGCCAGGTCTGTGTAGTGGTTGTCGTCCAAGTCGACCCCGCCAGAGAGGGAGAAGCCGAAAGTGGTCAGCGTGGGGCTGATCTCCTCGGCGGTGATGGCCTGCGAGTACTTCTCGGCGACGCCGTTCTCGCCGCCGTGGTATATGTACACGACTCCCTTCCCGTTCTCCCCACCGTACGGTGCGCCCACCGCTATATCTGAAAGTTTCGAGGGAAAACTATTGTAATCTACACCTTCAGCGAGAAATATTATGGCTTATTTGTAAATACTAAACAAAAATTCTGAAAGTACTTATTCAATTGTGTACAGCTGTAATACCAGGTATGTCTTCAATATACATTGTTCGGGAAAATTTACTTTACCCGGATAAATTTGACGCTGATAAATTTCACCGAAAAGCATTGTAGTGAAAAGCGTGAAAAAGCGAAATAGGACAGGAAACCCTTCATCCGAATAAGACGGAATGTCAATAATAAAAAGAGACACCTGCTAAGGTGAGCTTTCTGACAATTCCTATACTCACTTTGCAAATTGTTTCTTATTTGATTGAATATTATGATTTAATGTAAAATATTACTAACCACCAAACCCGTCGTAGTTGATGTCTCCAAGTGAAGTGACAGCCAGACCAAACCTTCCCCTAGAGACTTCCCCGGTACGTGCATGGTTCTTCGAGAAAGACTGTAAACATAGAACAAATATATATCGAAATTACTATAACAATAAAATGGCTGTATGGTTTAAATAGTACAATACAACTTAAACTTAGCCTATATTACTAAATGGTCAGCTAAGAGAACAACGGTTTTTTATTATATAGCCAAAAATCGCGATAGGATTTAGTGACGTTACGAATAGAAAATAGGGCTAGAAACGTCCTCCGCCAAGACTTTTCCACTTACCCTGTCCTTCCCTTGATAGATGACATAAATCCTGCCGTGCTCGAACCCATTGCTTTTGGGCTTGGTGAACATGGGAGCGCCAACGATGACGTCATCAGTACCGTCACCGTCAATATCGCCGGAGGCGAGACTGTACCCGAAGTAGGCACCGATTTGCGAGCCAGTGATATTCTTGATGTTCATCAAATCCCAAGTGTATAAGACAACCTAAAAGAAAACAAAAATTGCAAACGCTTGCAAACACATCGTGCTAAAACCACTAAAGTTTTTAACAGTTCTAAAGAGAACTCAAATGTTACTAGTTGTTGTTGTTAAATTAGTATACATATAACAACAAAATTATGTCCAAATACAAGACAATGCAACAATTTAAACAACTGGAGAATATTTATCTAATTGTTTAGTTTTTTCAATATCTTGTGCTTGGATTAGATTAGATTACATAGATTCTTGTGCTAAGTTTCCTTGGTAACAGAGATTGTATATTTTTTATAACGTTAAAAAACTACTGACCAATCCTTTAAGGTCTGCTCCCCTAGGTACACCAACAGCAACTCCTTGTTCCCCCTGATCAGCAAAATCTCCCACGGTAACCGAGTAGCCCATGTAAGAGTCATCATATTTGGGACTGGCCTCCGGTGTAGAGATGAGACTTCTTTTCCCATTTATCGTTTGAACTTTCAATTGACCTGAGCAGAATAAGCAATGGTGAGTAAAGCGTGAAGGAAATTTTAAACTTGATATAAGGTGCTGTCCTTATATTTTTAAGTAAATTCCGATTGTTAGATAATATTTTGTAAACATTCATAACTGATCTAGTTTTAAACAATGGCCAATTAAAGAAAATCATTTGCGTTTTTTTGGTATGTACTTAAAATTTCTTTTAGTTATGAAGAAAAACGTCTGTCTATCAATAAATTGTTTTTTTTTTATCGGTATAATTGTGTTATTAGTTAATTAAAACTGTACAAAACAGAATTATGTTACAAAATGAAAAAAAAAACCATCAGATTAAGTACAAAAATGAAGTAGAATGTACAAAAGAACCGGAACCGATACAGGGAATACTATTTCTCCTAATTTATTTCATACTTATTTCGCTTTGTAGCTCAAAATCCCAAATTATGTCTGACTCGTTTCCAAAAATGTTACAACCAACCAAATCCTTGTTACACCGCGTTAAAAGCCAGTATGATTCTCATCAACGAATTAGTTCAAAGCTGGGGCCACCGTTTATTTCAAGCGTTAATCAAACCAATATAACCCATCGTACGTGTGGTGATGGTATCACCGGGCCGGTAAACACAGTTCCGTTCGGACACTTCGAAAGGTGGAACAGAATCAAAAATAGCCGTTGGCTGGTTTATTATTAAACGTTAGGTGAAACCGAACGAGGTTCGAAGCGCTCTTGACGAGTCGAGAGAGTCGTTAGCAGTTAATGAAACACCAAAAGCATTCTATTTTCAATTGTGTGCCGCCCCTCGAGACAAACGGCGCTGCGTTTAAATAACCATATTTATTCCGTCATACATCGGGACCTTTTCAATGTTTGAAGCGTACGGGCTGCAGATTTCAGACGATTGTCTCGATTCAATTAAGAAATCCTTCTTAAAGATGTCTTTCAACATTTATTACGTCTTACATCTCCTGGAGACATTTGAGTTAGCACAGTCTTATGAAATGTCTATGAAAGTAATGAGATTTCGTGCATCTATACCGCATAACATCATCCTCCTATAGCTAAGTGTACTATGGGGGGCATGAAGGCGTATGGGTTGACCATGGGGGCATGAGAACGGCTATTTTCACGTTAGTTGAAGCGTTGCCTCGGCATGAATCCATGCCAAAAGCGAATGAGTCGACATATGTACGTCAATGGATTGATTTTCAACATTATTACTGTGATATTGAGTTTCGTTAGGGGTAATTATTGATTCATAAAACATGTACTATAATTTTGACAACGAAGTTTTCTTGTCTTATGGTTTTCAGTAATTTTGCTTTAAGTCAAGGCTTTGAGAGCTAACGGGAAACGATAAAAACTACTAAGTCCCTAACATAACTTTTTATAATTCAACCAATCGTTGAAATTTTTTTTAATTTACTGACTCTCAATATTAAGGACAATATGCCGCTCATTAAGATCGAAATTCTAATATCGCTTTATCCTAACTCACTCAAAATCACAGAAAATACAGTCGGAAAATCTTACAATGGTATGGTAGGCTTTTTTGAAGGATTAGGCGTACAAGCCTTTCGTTTTGTTATTTCGGTTAAAGAAGTTACGTGGTCAATCCGTCTAGGACTTTTTTTACCTTCCTTCGGCATATAGTAGTTGAACCTTGCGCTAGTGTCTATGGATAACGTTCGTCCTGTGGATTTTTATTACAATTTCAATATTCGCACTCATTTTATCAATTCTATTATCTTTTAATTGACAAGCGGCAGTTAAAAAAAATCAAAAATTGACCCTTAAAAGAATCAAAATTCCCGAATCATAGAACCAATCAATAAATTGTTAACATTCTAAGGTTTCATTATTGCAACAATGAAAATGTACTGTTATGTAAGTGGAAGATATTTACTCACAAAAGAACGGGAATTCTGTTTTCATTTAAAGGGACAAGAAATTGTATCAACTTTGGTCTAGCAGTTCACTTACCTTGCCAGTAAAAGCTGCCCGGTGCTCCCATAAAGAGTCTCTCTCCATCCTGAAATCACATAACCCAGATTATAAAAAAAAATCCAAACCAACCCATTGACAAAAAGAACATCAAAGAGAAACAATATTAACGTTATAACACACAATAAAGAGATTTAGATTTAACAACCTATCAATTTGTTTAAGTTTGTGCATGGTGTGTAAAGACCATAGTCCAATAGTTAACCAATAGTTAAAATTTAGTGAAAATATTATTACATAAGTATATTAACAAAGAGGAAATCTAAAGATGCACATATCACTTCAAAACCTAACACTTAAGGCCCATTTACACGGTGCAAATTTCTTGCCTGTTATATACAATTAAATTGAAGCAATAAATGAGTTGCATTGTCTAAACAGCACATAACATTCTTGACTGTTGAACAAGACTTGCTTCAAGTTTTGTTTCAAAACTTTCCTTGGTGTAAACAGCACACACAATAATTTCTTAAGCAATTCTTGTATTCAATTGCAATCTCTTTTCCTTTGTGAAAAATTAAAAAAAAAAATAGTGCAATGAGTGAGGGTATTTAATCGTGGCTGTTCTTTTGAGGATAGAAATATTGAGAAAAGGTCGTAAAAAAGTTGGATAAAAATATGAATAATAATATATGGATCATAATAAATAAATCTCAATGAAATATATTTAATCGGCATAATCTAACTTGAACATTTATTATTGAGCCATTTTTTTAAAAAAACAGCCCTTTGTAAAACGTTCAACACTTGCATGAAAAATTTGTCAACGCAAATACGTGCAATACTTGAAGCAACACGCCAATAAATTGTACACGCACATACAAGCATGTGTTTAGACAAGTCAAAACTTGAAAGCAATAATCGCCTAAACATAATTGCATTGGTGTAAACAAAAGACATTTGCAATTATTTCTTGTCAAGACTTGCATACAATAATCGCATTCAATTTTTTTTACTATATCTGCGTGTAAACTGTTGCTTACAATTCTTGATGGTCAATTATTGCGCGCAATTTATTGCATTCAATTATTGCTCTTGTATGTACAAGAAAATGGCATCGTGTAAATGGGCCTTTAAGGTAGGGCAACGCAACAGTCTTCGCTGTTGCACGAATGGGCAGGCTCGTCCACAGAAAACGGCGTGAAGTAGAAGTTTTATACTTTTAAGTTCCACCTGGTGAGTGCGGTAACCGGTGCGCACTTTATTAAAAGGCCTCTGCAACCCTACGGGTGTTGCAAATCTCCATGGGCGTCGGTTGCATTTAACATCAGGTGAACCGCCAGCACGTTTCCCACCATAATTCTCACAAGTCAGGTATCTATGTGTGACAATATCGGCTCGTAGCCTTTGTTAATTCACATTGGAGAAAATTTTACCAAGTATTACAAAAACCGGCCAAGTGCGAGCCTGACTCGGGCACGACGGGTTCCGTACCTACCATTATCTATAAACAAATGCAAAAAAAAAAAACAAAAAAAATGTCTGTCTTAAATACTTTTTTATCCTGTGTTTTAGTATTTGTTGTTATAGTGGCATCATGAATACATGATCTGTCAAAATTTCAACTGTCTAACTAGCACGGTCCATGAGATACAGCCTGGTGACAAACGGATAGACAGACAGCGGAATCTAAATAGTTGGGTCCCGATTTACCCTTTGGCTACAGAACCCTAAAAATATTTCGAAGCATTCACTCCGCGTTACGACGTACCGACATCGCCAACTGTCTGAGTGGGACCTCACAGCTGTCAAAAGACACAGCGCAGTCTGAGATAAGAGTTTTACGAGTCGAACGCGATGCGGCCCCGTCGCGGCTTTATGGTTACTCTTATGGTAATGCTACGAGGTTCGATAAGTGGCCACTTGGTGAGTGTGCGTTGGATGCCATTTCGTATCTATCTATACAAATTGTCGGCGATTGTAAACAGGGATGAAATAAACCGCTCCTAAGTGGCCGCTTGAATCCGTCGACTTGTTACACGATCTCAATATGCGATATGGATTATTTTCCTATTGACGGCAGTTATTAACTTTCTGAAAATTGTCTCCAATATATATTTTGTACTTTATCATCTTTCACATAGAAATAATTAAATTTGTTAAATTACTTAAAACTTTAGAACCATTGCTAAGATATAACTTAAAGTACCTTCCTTATACGACTATGCTTAAAAAGAGTGACAAAATAAACTAACTGGTCTCTCGCCTTTTGTATTAGAGGCGTAAGTAAATATTTGGTGAGCAAAATGTCTTCCCGCCATCGCTGGCATCCTCACATTGAACTGTTTATTATTTTTAGCGGGTCCTTAGAAAACAGTCTTATAACACTGGAACTCGAAAAGAAACGTCGAACATAAGCGAAAGCGATTCAATGTTTGAAAAATAATTTACAGACATCACGTTTGGTACAATTGTCGGTACGAGGTAAATAATAAAATTTAATATTGTCTTAAAAATATGAATATACAAAAAATAACTCTCACTTTAGTTCCTGATAAAGTGTTAACTTTACAAACTATATGTTCGAAAAGAAAAGTAATTGATAAAAACTGCGATATGAATTTAATACCATAACACATGTTGATGACTTCCCAGCCACTAATCAATAATCAATCCACTGTGTTTCTGTTATAAATTAAATACACTTTAATTTGCCTCAAACATATAAATTTAAACTATTGTTAAGATAAACACATGTTAATAATTAAGCGAAAGGTCGGATAACGTAGACAACTAAAAGTAAATTAAGCCTATATAAGTCCAACTGCTCCGCGAAAACCACCTCTGTGTACAAAGGGCATAGTCCACCACGCGACTCCGAGATATTTTTTCTTTTAATTATTTTGAAAATATGAAGATTATGAACCATTTCTTTACACCGGGATTTGAAAAGTGTGCGAGTATTGAATTGAAAGCGAGCATATAATATAAAATCTTCGAAGCACTTAGAAAACCAAAAATGAAATATTATGAATTCCGTAACCGCTCTCCGCTCCTTCCTTGCAACCTTCAGCCGGGAGACAAAAAGCAGACGTCTTAACAAATCGGTGCGTGTGAACTTGAGAGATAACTCCCGAATGACACAAAATGGTCACAAAAACAAATCTGCCATCGCTTTAAACGTTCAACCGTTAGTAACATTATATCATAAAGTAGGTATTAGAGGGAATGGAGTTCAGTTTTCGTTAATAGTTGTCCTTTATATTTTTCATAGAAAAAACGCATAGCATGATAGTAAGACCCTGCAAAGGAATATTTATTGCAGCGAATTTTTAGAGCTTTGGAGTAGAAGGTGCGGTATAAAGGAAAAGCTGATCTTCTCTTCCATTTAGATTTCTCTTGCAGTCAAAAAAGTCACAGTTCCCATAGTATTATGGTAATCTCCCGACTCTCCCCGCTTATGAATAAATATATGGAATGTACGACGCCATATCACGCCTTGTATGGCGCGGCGAGAGCTATGGTCATATATTTTTTTCAATATATTTGTTAAGTTAATAGTTTAATATGTTAATGTTAAACTATTGCCACTTTAGTTCAATTTTCACTATTTTTATAAAAATAAATACTATCATACTATAAGCTTTACTAACTCTAGCATTAGCCTGCGTGAAAACAGCTGGCCTCTTCAAGGAATAAATATTGCAGACTTTCAATTGCTGACTAACATTTAATATTCTTAAAAGTTATTTTCTTTCCAAGTTATTTTTAAATTAACCGAATGAGAAATGAGACCAAAGGTACTCGTAAGCTAATTGAATTTTTTATGTGAGAAGGTGGCAAGTGGTCTGGCATCTCCTGAGTAAGTGACAGCCGCCGCCCTCAGATGCTGATGTCTTGACCTTCGAATAAAGTAGGCCCAGGTTACCCCATTCTCCAGACGAAACGCAAAACTATATCTTTTCAGGCGGTCTTCTGCGAGATCGTTGTACTTCCACGGAGGGACGTGCCCATTCGTGCAACGGCGAAGATTGTTGGTGGCTCTACCACAGTCAACAACAAAAACTATGCATGAATTACTGATGAGAATTTATTCGGATATCATTATGCCGAATCTTCCTCTTCCACCACTTTACTACGAGTAATATTATATGATTCGCTTGAGTGCGTCCAACATCCCGTCAAGTGAACATTTATTTATTTATTGATAGAGCCACCAACGGAATAACATGTTGTTTTGTCATAAAAACTGACAATAGACTTAGGAACTACGATTTACATGTTGGTTACAGCTCAACTCTTTACACAAGGTAGTGACAGCGTGTTTAAAAGACGATAAGTGTACGATAACTCAATAATAATTACAAGTATGAGTAAAATACTAATATGAAACAACAAACAAAAAAAAACAACAATTAATCAATAAGAAAATTAAAAATTTATAAAAATAATAACAATTTATATCGAGTTTATATAAAATTATGGTAGAATTTTTACTTTGAATATAGCAATGTAGTTCATTATTTTAACAAAACGGGAGGTTTTCGAACAAGTTGAGGCGGTGGTCAAGACATGGAGCCATCAGCAACGGGCGATTTCAAGACTCGCGAATCACCCACGACGCTTTGTCGGCGCGACGTCGCAACAGTGCGAGTGAGTCTCAATTGCGACATTATTCCCTTTACGACCATAGCCATGTGCGAAATCACTTCGGTGGAGTGTTTCGAATGGTAATAAGGGATTACGGTATTTGTCACGCGGGAGTTGAGTTCCGTAGCACCATTTGCCGGCGATAGTTAGTTGTGAAAAACAATTTGTCGGATGTTTATTAAATTATAAGCTTTGGATTTTGGTTTTTAATTATGTACTTCACGCCTTGCACCTTATATAGGTATACACGAGAGAAAATTTGTGAAATTTTTTAGTCCGTTTACATGTAGAAATGCCATAAACATTCCCTAAAATAATCTTTTTTAAACTGCAACCATCATAATGATTAAAATTTGAAACATACTACGATTCCATATTCTTTTTAATTTTAGTTAAAGAAAGAGGCTAAAATTTAAAAAAAAATGCAATTTACATATT